TATGGTAGAGAACAGACTTCATGGTTCCATCAATCACAGCAAGTCGCCCAGGTCCTGAAGCAGCAAAGCAGCCTCACACCATCACACTACCACCACCATGTCTGACTGTTGCTATGATGTTATTTTTCTGAAATGCTGTATACTTTTATTCCAGATGTAACGAAACACACACATTCCAAAAAGTTCCGTTTTCGTCTCTTTAGTCTATAGAAGAGTCTTGGGGAATCATTCAGATGTTTGTTTGCAAAAGTAAGACGAGCCTTTATGTTCTTTTTGGTCAGCAGTGGTTTTGGCCTTGGAACTCTGCCATGGATGCCATGTTTGCCCTGCAGTCTCTTCCTGATTGTTGAGTCATGAACACCAGCCTTAACTGAGGCAAGGGAGGCCTGCAGTTGTTTAGATGTTGTCCTGGGTTCCTTTGGGACCTCCTGGATGAGTCGTTATTGTGCTCTTGGGGTAATTTTGGTCGGCTGACCACTCCTGGGGAGGTTCACCACTGTTCCATGTTTTCTCCATTTGTAGATATTGGCTCTCACCACGGTTCGCTGGAGTCCTAAAGCTTTAGAAATGGCTTTGTAACCCTTTCCAAACTGATAGATATCAGTTGCTTTATTTGTCATCTGTTCTTGAATTTCTTTGAATCGCAGCATTTTGTTCATCTTTTGGACAACTTCATTTTGTCAGACAGGCTCTATTTAAGTGATTTCTTGATTGAACAGGTCTGGAGGTAATCAGGCTTGGGTGTGGTCAGTGAAATTGAACTCAGCTTTCCAAAAAATGTGATTCCTCAGTGCCACAGTTAATTCATGATAAACAGGAGGGGCAATTACTTGTTCACACATGGCCAGGTAGGTTCGTGTTTACTTTGGTTATCTTTGGTTATCTTTGTCTAATATTTAAATTTGTTTGATGGTCTTAAACATTTAAGTTGGGGGAAAATTCAAAAATATAAGAATTTGAGAAGGGGGCAAATACTTTTTCACGGCACTATATATATGTAAAACTCTGAAACCAGCTGGCCACGGTCTGCCCAACAGCATTTATGAACAATTCACCTGAAGGCCAGTGAAGCTGATCACCACAGATCACTATCTGTTGTACAACTACATCTACAGGTCTCAGCAGAGCCTGCAGGATTGTTAAAGACAGTACTCATCCTTTGCACCACTCTGTTTATACGACTGCCCTCTGGAAGACGCCACACGGCCCTGAAATGCCGCAACTTCAGATTGAGGAACAGTTTTTACCCCACAGCCAACCATAAACTGAATTGCCACCCCCCCAGTCCCCCTACCTCCCCCACCTCCACCACAGCCGTCTTAACCTGCACTAGCATAGACTCATGTGCAATAATTGCACAAGCACTTTATTCCATTCCTTAAAAGCACTTTACCTTTTTTTTTTTTTTTTAATGTGTCCGTGATTTGCAGAGTAAATGGAACATTTCTTCTTTTATGACAGATGTCATAAAATAAATGTCAGATTGTGTATATACAATGACATAAAGGCATTTGAATTTGAATGTGAAAGATCTGTCACAAATAATCAATAGGATCTATATCTCCAGAGCATAATACTACCACCACCATGCTTGGTGGTAGGTTTGGTGCTCTTGGGCTTAAAGGCCTCACCTTTTCTCCTCTAAACATATTTCTGGTCATTGTGGCCAAATAGCTCAATTTTTATTTCATGACCACAGAAGTTTCCTCCAGAAGGCCTTTTCTTTGTCCCACGGTGATATAAAAAACATTTAACTGAAGACACTGACAACTGTGTTCAAGCAGCTTCTAACTAATTGCAGAGCTTCTTCCTGGTGATTCTTTGTTGACTCTTGACCATCCTGATCGTCTCTCAGCAGCAGGTGATAGTTTGTGTTTTCTTCCCTTTTTTTTTGTGTTTGATTGTGTTCCTGCAACTGTACCATGCACTTTAGACTTACAAACAATTGTATATAAAGATGATTGTGGGATCTGTAGCTGCTTTGAAATGGCTCAAAGTGACTTTCCTGATTTGCTTTTCCAGATCCTTTCTTAGCGCCACAGACTTTCCCAGACAAAGCAACTTTCATAAACGGTCACAATTACTTGTGAGAAATTAAGAGGCAATGCCACGAAGAAAATTTGATTAACGGAGTTTCAACAGCACCAAAGGTGATCATTAAAATTGCTGTATGTATATTTTTTACCCAACAGGTTCTCAAGACTGCCATGACATGTACTGCCCTTACAAGTGTATGTAAACCTTTGTTCACAACTGTGTTTTGACAAATAAAAAAAAGCAAACTTTATTTGAAATCATCATGAAAAACAATATCTTCATAGACTCCAAAAGATTGCAAACAGACCTTTTCTGAACAATGCTTTACTCAAAAGTTGTCCCATCAAGCCCCTTTTACACGTGGGACACAGAACATTAGTGGCTTCATCAAGCTGTCAAAGTGGCAGCATTCTAGTCATTTAGCCACAGGTTCTCTGATTCAGTTACTGTAATCAAGGCTTAGCAAATATTTGTAAATGTTTGTCCTACAACACAAAAGCACATGGCTGGACAGTTACTTCAAGCTATGATAGACAATACAGTAACTGAATATAATTCTTAACTAAAGATCTAAGGATATCTAAACTGCTGAAGCACATTCCCTAAATGCCCTTTCATTGATTAAGTTTTAACCAATGTAAAAACATAATTCAATCCACTGGTAAACAATTACATTATTTCTTCTCTCTTGCTACTTCATTTTTGTCTGGAAGAGGTGATTAAGTCCTACCTGTTGACAATGGCAATCCTTAAGAAAGTATTCTTGACATCTTTTTTGGTTTGTTTGTTTTATACAAGCTCGCTCCAACATTAGCAAACAGAGTCATTGCAGATGATAGGATACACACTCATGTGTTGCCATTATTGCCACGCAGTTTGCTGACTGGTCTCACAAACATCAATATTTGTTTCCTTATATGACCATATAGGAAGTTTAAACTTGCACTCATTGTTTCACTGTCTGGACTTATCCATTAAAGTCCTGATATGGAACAATATTAAAGTGCCTGAATTGAAGGAAATAGAAAAAAATAAGCTTTGGGATGGATTAATGTGATGGTAAAATCCTGTACTGTGTGTTATATGTTCTCCTCCTTTCAAAAATGTTATATCTTTTAAAGTTTTTGAGGTTTGCAATGTCACAAAAGAGTCAATTCAAGAAGACTAAGAATAATCTTGAATTACTATGAATGGCTGAAATTAATTTCTGAAGGCAACCTTCCCCCTTTTTGTTGCTAAGTGTGGTACTAATGGTAAACTAGTGGTTTAATTTAAAAAAGACTTTTATGTTGCGAGGTAATGCAAACATAATCTTACTCTTCTGAAACTACTGCTGAAATCTCAACTGTGTAACAGCAGGCTCTTCTCTTCTCTTCTTTGAGGATCAGACTGCAGTTTATGGACCACATGATACAATGTGATGTCTTTGGCTGCAGCCATTATTGCCATTAAAGAGTTGCCACAGTGTAAACAAATATTGATTCATCAGGTACTTTTCCAGTTTTGCTTGTGGTGAACTTGGAGCCACACTTTAACCAATCAGAGCAGGTGTTCATGACTGATCTTCATTATAAAGTAAATAGCTTCTAAAAAACAGGCCCAATGAGGACAGAGAAGAATATACAGAAATATGGATTTTAGAAGTCTCTACAGCTTTTGGTGAATACGATTAAAATGATGTGTTCAGAATGACAAGTTGTAATAAATGCTCTGTAGAAACTCTACAACAACAGAAACTCTCTGTGTGAACCTCAATCAATTGTGGTGCCTTTCATGCTTTGGGAGTCATTTTCATTGTGATGGCCTGGCACCTTATCCATCAAAGTGTCAATCACAAATTTTATTACAAATGAAGAATTCTAAGTAGTAAAATTGAAGATCAAGATCGCTTTCCATAGTCGCTCCTTTTAACTGTGTAATACCGTTCTTCTTAACTCTGGTACACTGGAAAATACTGCTAGCTATTTCCTTTTAAAATAATTAGAGACTGTACTTTTCAGATCTTTCGTTCTGATCCTGTGGTGTTTTGGTGCTGTGTCTCTCTCTCTCGCGTTCTGCGCGCGTGTTTTTACGCACATTGTCAAGTTAGTCCATCCTAGCTCTGACACCGGAAGTAGCTCACCATCAAACCTGGCTGATAAGTTAAACAACGAACTGGAAAAATCCTTCATGAAGTTGAACTCTTCACAACTTTATGTCACAGTAATGTCCTAGTGATGAAGGTTTGTCATATATTTGATAGTGTACTTAATGATGCCAAGTAGACTAAATCCCAATGTAGATTAAACAGTCTGAACCTGAGTTTATCAATCATTTCACAATGATTCGTGTAACTCGAACAAATCTCAGATGTTGCTGATGCTGTCAGAAATCAGTGAATATTCGGAATCTCAACAAATCAATTCAATTTATTTATATATTGCAGTTTACGGCATATGTCATCTCACAGCGTTTAACACTGTAAAGTATAGACCTTACAACAAAAGCTCAACAAAAGCGTCTACATGGACGGCTATGTACTCGTGTTGACAGAGTAAGAGAGTGTTTCTGCAGGTGAACCGAGCCTTTGCTCCCTGAACGATTGGACGACAAAGCTGTTTTATTGTGAAACGTGTAACCGGATGTGTGGAGATGCGCCGCCGTGCGTCTTGACGCGGTGCGCTGATAAAAGCAGCCCGCTCCGCCGCTCCGGTACCGTGTGTAGCGCAACAAAGGAAAGTCACGCACAACCAAAGGGATAACCTGGTGGAAACAAACAAGGGACCGCTTCATTTACTGCATTTTAACGACAGTTCCAACAGGTAACTAAAGGTGATATTGGCACACAATTTAAAACGAGATTAGAAAACTGGAGCGATTTTGAATACGAAGTATGACGCGGCTGTTCATTTGTTGAAGCTTGCTTTGGTTTGTCACCACAGTGACATTACAGACACAAAGTACTGCAGGCAGGGCACACATAAATGGAGCCTCGGCTGTTGTGCTGTGAGGGGAACAAGCCTGGTGTCCGGAGGGCCTACCGAGACTCCAACCTGTTGACTGACCGGGTACTGCACGCTCTGCTGCGGGCAGAAGACAAGTACCTCCCCGCCGCCAACTACTTCAAATGCGTCCAGAGTGAAATGGCTCCGTACATGAGGAGGATAGTGGCTACTTGGATGTTGGAGGTGAGTTAAGGCCAGAAGAGCTCTGTTGTTTAAGGACGATCAGGACTGCTGCTTCTCAGTTCCTGCAAATGTTGCAAGTGTTGAGTGTGTTTGTGGATCAGAGACAGGCAGCCTCTGTTCATACAGGCTTCATCCATGTGGCTGAGAAATCACAACACAAGCTGAGAAATCGATTAAGACTGATGTCACGGCCGATGGAAAGGACAGAAACGTTGTGTGCAGTGTCTTCAGAGTTGACTTCTGATCACAAGTAGTGCAGTTATAAACAAGCAACACTTACAATCGCAGTTGTGTTCTCAGTGGAGTTCAGTGCAGAACTTTCTATCAAAGAACCTCCAAAGATTCGCTTCATGCAGTGTCTCCTGTAACCAGCTAAGAAAGAAAAGTCCCTGAAACGGTGTCACCGCTCATCGACTCCTCATTCACTGCAGGGTTTCCACACAACAGCCGTCAATGTGAACGGAACACACACACAGACACACGCACGCACACGGTGTCTGTTCAGTGCGCGAGCTGAACTGCAGCGCGCGAGCTGAACTGCAGCGCACGCGCTGCCCTGCTGTGGGTCACGTGATGAGCGCTCTGACGTGCAGCTCCAGGACACCAGCTCTCTGTCAGCTCTGCCTTGAATTTTATAGAATTTTCTTGACTATTTCTCCTTACCTGTTTCATCTTTTTCTTTTTTGCTACAAATCCTCACATCCTCCTCATTTGCAATGTTTGAATTTCGTTGGTAATTGACCTTTTTTGACTGCAAGATTATTTCAAAAAGTGTCTTTGATATCTGCATTTGTCAGTGATTATTCAGTGAACATTTTGTACATTTATTGTTGTGATCACATAAATGATCAACTTAGGTCCAGTTTGCATGCATCTATTTGCTACTGACTCCAATTCTCAGTGTTTCATTTGGACCCTGCCTTATCTTTAGCATTCTTAAATGTCACAATGTCCTATGTTTTTAGGGGCAACTTTTTCAGCAGTCTGTTCTGAAAGCAGAAACCTTAAAGTATACATGGGATTCACAGTGACTTGTAACCCCTTAAGGCCGGTGTTATACTTTACCTCTGCCGATGTCTGTGTTTGTCCAGGGACAGCAGTGTACTTGCACAGCATATGTAAATACTGATCTTCTTCACATGTGTGGAACAAAGTCTTTATAGAAGACTCCATGTTGACTAGCAAGTAGTAAAATAACAACTATGTGTCCATGTGGGTGTCCGCAAAAAGTATAATCACAGCTAATTCATGCTTTCAGCAAAATTTTTGAGTGCAATGCACAGTTTGCATAGGCTGCACATGTGCCCGAAAACAAATGGTGTTTAAAAAGAATGATAATTTGAGGACGTCCATTATGAGGGGATTCCCCACACCTTTATAGATCATCATTAAAAAAGGTGTAATTGAAGTAGTTGCTGGCTGACTTTGATTTGTTCATGCTTTCCATAGATGGTGCAACACAGTGGTAACTTGCAAGTTGTCCAGGAGCTCTGTGTTATGTCTGCCCACTTTGCTTGGGGCAGGGTGTTCCATGGCACTCATCATGCATCAGAAATAATCACTGTTATGGTGCTACAGACCAGTGTTCACTAGCTGTTATATCCTGTGAAAAATGCAAAGTCACAGCCATCCTTTCAGAAACATCCATGGGAGCCCAGTGTGTTTTCTGTGTTCAGTGTCAGGAGTAAAGTAACCAGACCAACATGGACTCTGTAGTATTAATGTCTGCGTTTGCATTCAGAGCCCACATCGGTCAGCACACAGGGATATGGGAGTCGTGAACTGACTTTTAAGTATTTAGAGTGAGCAGTAAGAATGGGCTATGTAGTAAATGGGGATTTTCAGTGACTGGGATGTACAAATCCAACTTGTCTCTTCAAGTTTAAAATCAGTCTACTTCACTCACTGGTAATATTTTTCTACAGCAACATAACATTTGTGAGTTTGTGGCCCTCTGTGACTTAAACTACTGAACTCAATATTTTTCCCACTGACAAAGAAACTAAATGGCAGCATTGCATCCTGATTTGTCTGTACAGGTGTGTGAGGAGCAGAAGTGTGAGGAGGAAGTTTTTCCACTGGCCATGAACTATATGGATCGCTTCTTGTCAGTGGAACCCACAAAGAAAAACCACCTCCAGTTATTGGGAGCTGCATGCATGTTCCTGGCATCCAAACTGAAGGAGACAATCCCACTCACTGCTGAGAAACTCTGCGTCTACACAGACAACTCCATCACACCTTCTCAGCTGCTGGTAGGTCATTTGGTTGTCATCTCAGACACATCTCAGCAGCTTCTGGCCAGATTGGTGTGGATTTTACTCCTAATAGCTGTGCTAACCTCCTGAGCTTTTGATGACCCCCCTGACCTTTCTTGTCATGCTACTGTTAAGTGCCAAGTCACAAGAAGTAGACCAAAAGCACCCATCACTGTCTTTGTTATACCCTGCATGTGTACATTTGAATCACACTTAAACCTGTCATTCTGTCTCTCTCTGTCCTCATCCACACACAGCAAATGGAGCTGCTGGTTTTGAACAAGCTGAAGTGGGACCTGGCTTCATTAACCCCTCTTGACTTCATCGACTTTTTCCTGTCTCGGCTGTCTGTCTGGACAGAGAACAGACCTATACTCAGGAAGCACGCTCACATCTTCGTTGCGCTGTGTGCCACAGGTATGCCTGGGATTATAGCAAATATTATTTTTTTTATTAACGCTGCTGCTGGGCTAATCCCCTGTAGCTGCTACTTATCTGTCAGACTGTTATAATGTGCCGTATTCTGTGAAACAAGTATTGCTGATCTTAGCAAGGACTGCAGCAGCTTTTTCAGCAGAGCCAATCAGCAGAAACTGCTGATCCATTAGCAGTTATGGCCCGGTCATTGTCAGAGTTGGTCTCTCTTGTGGCTCAGGTTATAAACAATGCAGAGTGGCCAACCTGACAAGGGAGACCATTTCTAAGTAGGTAATAAAATACCTAATCCAACACAGCTTCAAAACAATGAAGCACATGAAAAACCAACTAAAACCATAATAGTTCTGAAAGAGTAACTTCAAATCTTACTTGAGGTCATTAATCCTACTGGCAGGAATTGAAAGAAGAACTTGACAAATGCTTGCCTGTTCCCAATATGTTTATGCATTTATCATTTATGCATTGGCCAATAATACACACTAAAGTGCAAATTCATGGTAAACTTTACAACATAATTGCTGAGCAGACCATTGTGCATAGATTTGGAGCCTGTTGGGCCTCTTAACTCATTCATCTGTTACTTCAAGTTGACTTCCCTTTAGATAATTTATTGTCTCTCCAGTAGGTTAAACAAGATTTCCCTTCCAAAGCATGCTTCTGTGCTGTTTTAATGCAGAATTGATTTCAGTCTGAACTGCTGCTAGCTCAAACATCTTTGACTGTGCTTTTAAATATTTTGGGTTCGTATGTGGTTTCCTCTGTCACCAGCTATTTTAAAGGTGCCATATTAACAATAATTTCCATTATGATACTCTTCAGATGTTAAATTCATAGCCTGCCCTCCATCCATGGTAGCGGCAGGCAGCGTGGTGGCAGCAGTGGAGGGCTTACAGGCGAAAATGGAGGGCAACACAATGACGTCTCAGAAACTGACGGAGCAGCTGGCACAGACCATCAGGAGTGACCCGGTGGGTACATCTGCCCATGTCAGACTTGTACACAATAAATTCACTCCCACTGATCTAAGGCCATCCCTGTGTTAATTTGACCTTTTGCTTTTCAGGACTGTCTCAGAGCATGTCAGGAACAAATAGAGTCATTGCTGGAAACCAGTCTCAGACTGGCACAACAACAACCCCACTCAATTACCATGGAAACAAAGAACATGGGTGAAGGACAGGACCTCTCAGCTACGCCCACAGATGTACAGGACATAAACATCTGAGTGCTGCCAGTCATGCTGATGGATGAAAAAAGAGGAGCAGATTGAACTGATGGAGTTGACGGTCCTCTGGGACACACACAGAATTACAAAGCACACGTGTTGTTACTGTGTGTGTGTGAATGATGTGACGAGTGTTTCAGAGTGCTCATAAGTAACTGGACTCAACGGTCGATCTCAACTGTTCATTTGAAGTCCAGAATGAACTGTGGCAGCAGCCAGAAGGTGATTCTGTCCATGAGGAGAATTCAGCCACACAGAAGGAATGGCTGAAAAGGTGATGTGTTAAATGTGTGTAAGCAAGTCTTAAAGCAAGCATGCAGTTTTGTACCTGACAGGTCACCCCTCTGCTGTATGCCATGGCCTCAAGAGCAATGAGCCAATTCATGGTGCTGCCAGCAGGGTTTTGGTGCCAAGGACTGCAAGGTCTTTCTGAACTCGCACTCTTTCCGGAAGGTAAAGTTTGTAGCTTTGGACACAAACTGATGGTTGCTTTTAGATGCCTTCAGGCTGGAATTTATCAGACTTACTCACCAATGCCCAAACCAGATATCCTGTTTTATCAAATACAATATCCTTTCAAATGTGTATTAGGAGATAACAGTTTACTGGAAGCAGAAGTCGTGTCATATAAGTCTGTTTTGAATTCTGACTTTTGCTTCACATTACATATTATTTATCATAACCTACTTCCGCTGGGTTAACAGTCGTTTTAAAACAGATGACTCATCTCTTCTCCACTTGTAGCTCCAGAAGGAGATTCTTAGCCGATTTCAGGGACCTTTCAATAAAAAGTAATAATTAAGTATATTTTAAGTTTTAAAAAAATCTTTTAAATGCCAGTTTGGCAGTTTTTAAATGTTTACATTTATCACTATTATCAATTTGATAAATATGGACCCAGGTTAACATGCAAAGGTTTACGACAAGTCCTTTAACGGACACCGCAATGGTAAAAACCAACGGGAGAAGTTCTGTGCTATGGTTTACAATATGAGCTGTGATGTTTAAACATTAAGACATAATGGACAGGTTATATGGATACCGTTGTTCATTTGCAATTCTTTGTTACATTGTTCTTCCTGATCTGGGATCTGAAATAGGACATATTGTGTTTCACTAATAAAATATACCAGGTCATGTGAAAACTATCAAAAGCTAATCATTGAGCACAAAGTGAAAGCTTTTTCTGTTCCCCATAACCTGATGCTAATTATTAGACAGTTGACTCCACTAAAGGGAAGTTAAGTGAGAGGAAGACATTATCTAAAATGTCTTTCAGAATTTTGCTTTGTCAGTGCAGGTAACAGACATTACTTTGCATATCCTGTATTTGTAGGTAAAATACAGGCGCCATCTCAAGTGTTAAAAGGGATTTTACATGATTGAGAGATATGGGAAACTAGTGATTTTCCTTAATTGTCTTTTCACCTTGAGCAAAAGCTAAAAAACAACAACAACAACAACCAAAATAAGCTTTATATGAATATTGTTGTCTTTGGTTGTTTTTCGTCCACCAAGTCATGTCATTAGAAACTTTGTAAAGGTGAAAAAATTACCTATTTGTCAGGCAAGAAAAACAGAACCAAACCTGAACCACGCTGCAAATCTGTCTGTTCTTTTGGGAAATGGGTATCAAGCACTAATATCACATGTACTTATTTATTTTGAGTCAGATATTTATTATTTCATATCACTTAACTTGTTCTGTGTGGGAACTTCCTGGCTGGCTTGGGTCATTCTGTGTGGTGTTTGTATGTTTTCCGCTGTGTTTTGTGTTCTCCCTCAGTCCAAAGACATGGACGTTAGAGTGATCAAAATGCCTGGCCTCTGATTGTGAATGGCTGTGTCTAGTTTTAGCTGGGAAAGGCTCCAGCTTCCTGTGGTCCTCTAAAGCATAAGCAGACACCAACTAATTGATGGAGGGGCTCGACTTCTATGCTACTGCTAAAAGGGCGGGTTGTCCACTGATCGCATGGTTGGTGTTTCGATCCCCCGGCCCTCCACATGATATCCGATGGCAGTCGCCATGTTTGTGTGAGTGGGTGAATGAGTAAAACACTTTGTAAAGCGCTTTGAGTACCACTGAGGTAGAACAGCGGTATTTAAGTGCAGACTAGGTGGCTATTTTTCTGCCTGAATAGTTCTGAATGTAATAACTGATGATTGTTCACAGGCAGTTGGTGAAGAAATAAATGTCGCATTCAGCTGTTTCATTGTTAAAGAATGAACATGTCTCCTTTGTAACATGACTCCCTCTTGTAAAACTTGATTAAAACAAAAAGCAAGTGTAAACGTGTCAAAATTATGCTTGTGATTAACCTGCATCACTATGGTGACTATTACAGTTTCAGTTGGAATTATTCTTGCATCAGTCATACTTTATTATAAACATACTTCACAGTCAAAATACAGAGTTAGTATACACACAACCAAAACATTAAGAAAAACAACAAATAGATTGATCATATCCAATGTTTTGGGAAACCTTGGACCGTACCATTCATGTGGATATTACTGTGACTTGCCCCATCCATCTCAGCATTTTTGCAGACCAAACATAGCCCCCATAGCACCAGCACTCCCACATGGAGGTCTCACCCAGCAGGACAGTGTGCCTCACCACACACAAGACCTGCTCTGGAATGACTTGAGGAACACAACAAAGAGCCTACAGTGTTGATCTTGCCTGTAAACTCCCATGATCTTAATCCGATCAAGCATCTGTGGAAGGCGCCAGAACAAGCCCCATCCAGAAAGACCTACACATTGTGTCGGTGGTATGCAATTAGGACACAGTTTGTCTATTTTACACTGATGCTGTTTTTTTTTTTTTTTGGTTTATTTTTTGTTTTTGTCATTCTTGCCAAAGATATTGTGTAATCTGGAGCTGCTTTTGTTACGTACTATATTTATATGGTCCACACATCTGGCCTCAAGCTATCCTTTGTATTGCTTCTTTGCATTGCTAAGTCCTATAAAGCTGTGGTTACAGTTCACACATTTGTTTAAACTAGAAACACTAACCAGGCTAAAATGCAAATAAGTGATGAACTACGAAACTAAAAATGCTGTCGTATTCCTTTACTGAAGCTCATTTCTTTTACCAATTTTAAATTTATTTGCCACTATCCAACGGGTGTTTGTCTTGTTTTAGCATATATAGTATTGATAAAATACCTTTTTTTCAGTAAAAATAAACTTTGTGTTTAATGGCAGACATTGCTGCAGTTGTGTACTTTATTGGTCATATGATGAAGTTTTACCACAATGTAAGAATACTCTGTTACAAGTAAAATCCTCAGTGGTGTGGAAGCTTCTGTGAGCTGAGCTGTGTCTGGTAATGCTTGGTGTTTTCTGAATGATCCTTGAGTTCTGTTGACAGTTACAAATATGCAATGTTTTACATGTTTGATAGCATGAAGTTATTTGACCCATTCTGCTTTCACTTCATTTATATTTGCCTTTCTTTTTTTTTTTTTAAACAATTGCTATTAGGTGACCACTTCCAAGGCAACATGTAGCATTTATTGCTCTTTTTCACCTAACTCTATTAAATAAACTGAGGATTTATCAAAATGGAGCCAAGTGTTACTGAAACATTGTATATATTCTTCTTCTTATGTCATTTCATGTTTTTACTAGTTTCTGTACTGAAAGTGAAATCCACATCAAACGTTGCACAGACTGTTTCATCCTTCCCAACTGAGTCAGATTCACAGGTTTTGACTTGTCATGAAAGAATGGATGGAACTAACTGGAATAACAACATCCAGAATCATTCTCTACTTGCAATGCAACACACTAAATTTTACCTAAAGCCAATGAGAGGCTTCAGTTTTCTGAAGCAGACAGATCAAGTGGGTATGTGGCAAAAAAAAAAAAAATCTTTGTGATAATGTCCCTTTAACACGACTCAGCAAGTAAACACTGTCCAGAAAACAAAGGGGTGGACCTTTGTATTAAACCTCTTCGCTTGAGGCAGTTCCAACCCAGACTGAGCAATCCATGTTTTTATATATATATATAAGCATTTGGATTTGGAGCTGCTGCTTCACACTGGAGCAAACTGTTTTAGTGCACATGGAGGCTTAAAGCTGGCTCTTTGTTGCCAAACATTGTGCCTTGATGTCCTGTTTATGAAAATCACAAAGAGGACAGGTAATAAGACACTGCTGCAGGTGAAAATGTGGTGCAACAGAAACAAAGATTTAAATTAGAGGTGTGTTGGGTACAGTGGGACATGATCAGGTACAATATGGAAAAGGTAGTAACACCTATTCCTGTTTGGGATGACAGCCCAAGTCAATTCATAGTTGAATTCAATTCAATTTTATTTGTATAGCCCAGTTCCCAACATATGTCATCTCACAGCGCTTAACATAGTAAGGTGAAAACCTTGTGTACTGTAAATCAGTTCATTTGTTCATTTGAGTGTTGTTTAGCACCATCTAGTGGCAGAACAAAGGCAGCTGCACTGAAACAGGAAGCAATGTTCTAGAAACTTCTTTTTGACCTCCAGGGCTCAGAACATGGAACATCTGTGTCCATCTCGTCAGTCCTTGCATTAAAGTCCACATAAACGGCTTCATCCATAAGTTATGCACTGTTAAATATTATATCAACATGTTTATGTTACCGTTTCTGTACCTTGTACATATACTTTGTATTTTGGAGTAATATTTTGGAGACCAGCTAGTTGTAAGCGCTGGGTAAATGTGCCAGTCATGCGGTTAAATTTATGTGTGTTGTGCAAACTATTTACATATTTACATTTCTCTACATGTATGTATCGACATTTATGCATTTGAGACATTTGTATAAGTTAATTATCATCTTATTTAATGGTGTAGAAGAAGTACTTTTTGGTGCTTATATTTGTATTGTTCTTGTTCTTTTTCAGTTTTACAAAGTGAAAAGTATGAATATTTCCATTCATTAAATCCTGCCAAATACATCACCTGTCTGATCCTTGGAGGATGCAACATCGGACAGTATGAATA